TATTACCCCCTAAACAATCTTGAATAGATATTATTACATCACTTTTCGTCTACTTGGCATAGAGAGTGTATGCACTCTCTTTAAAGAGAGTGAGCAACATAAAATAATTAATATAACTTTATTTTTATAGGTATTTTGTTATAAAATATAATTTCTTATTTTTCTTATTACTTTAACCTTTTTTTCTTTGTTGTTTTTCCTCTTTCTTTCTTCTTTCTTCTTCAAAAATTCATTGTCATCTCCATTAAAACTCTCCACTTTCAATGTCACAATTTTTACCACAATTCCGCACTTCTTTTTTTTTACTATTATTAGTTTAAGTCTCTTCAATTTTAAACCTTTATCTATTTCTTTTTTAAAAAAAAATCGAACAAGTTGATGAACTCATTAGATTTCAAGATGATTTGGAGGTATCATTTAACTTTATTATCCGGATTTCATCAAGCTCTTTCAATTTTTGAAGAATTCATTTATTCTTTCAAAATTATTATTTTTAATTTTGAAGTTATATGAAAGAAGATAAATTAATTGACGATACTTTCAAAAATTTAAATTTTCTTAGAAAAATAATTAGTTTTGTTATCCCTAACTCAACAAAGTTTAGAAAATAATGTAATTTTATTAAGAAAAAAATCACTGGAAGAAAGGAATTTGATGGAAGAAGAAAAAGAAAATAAAAAAAGTGAATGGGAAGGGACACAGCTTGACGAGGGTGGGGAAGGATGGAAGTGAAATGTAAAGAAAATGGAGGAGGGACGTCAGCTTGAAAGTGGGGGTGGGATGGAAGGTGAAGTGAAATGTAAAATGAAATTAAAATAAAATAAGAAAAAGTATGAGAGAGAAAAAAGGTAAAGAAAAATTTAAAATGAAAAAAATTATGTCACATAATGATTGATGTGTGATAACACTTGCTTTTTAAAATCTAGCATTGACCGAAAAATGATGTAATAATTTTACTTTAAAATTGTTTAGGGAGTGATAGGACGTCTACATAGTTATGTATCTTTTTGAAAATTCGAGACAATTTTAAGTGTCACCTTATGTCTTTAATTGATGTATATATAGTTTAGATCTTAAGAAATATGTATATATTAATTGATTCTGGATATATATGTATATATTAATTGATGTATATATAGTTTAGATCTTAAGAAATGATTTAGAAGATAAGTGATTAGTGTTAAGGATAAATCATGAAAAAATATGTATAATATTATTGATTGACGTGAAACATTGCACGTACATTAAACTAATAATAATAAATGTATAATGGAGTATAAACGGAGAAAATTAAGTTATATGAAGAAGGGTGGTTGGAGAGAGGTCAATTATAGCATATAATTCCACAACAAAAGCGGAGTGCATCTAAGAGAGTGGCCCTACTCTAGTGAATCCCCTCTCGAACAAAGTCAACAAAGAATACTGGTGGGAGTGTTTCATCATTAATCAGAGGTGTCAGGTTCGAGTCTTGGGTGTGGAGAAAATCATGTTGGGAGCATCACTCTTGAATGGTTCCTATGGTGCGCGATCCTGATTTAGTCGAAGCTCCAATGTGGGCTTCGAACACAGAGTGTAAAACCAAAAAGAAAAACAAAAAAAATAAAGAGAGGGAAATTAGACAATCATCATGTAATAATAAATGTATATGAAGTAGACATCGGGTGGGAACCCGAAAAAAAAAAAAAAAAAGAGGCAAAACAAGACAATCGCATGTAATAATAAGTGTTACAGGAAGAATGGTTAGTTGGAGAAACATTAATTATGGCATATAATTTCACCAAGGCACCAACCAAGGGAAGTGCATCTAAGAAAATGTCCCTACTCTAGTGAATCCCATCTTGAACTAAGTCAACAAAGAGAGGGAAACAAAGACAATTGTCATGGATTTATTGATCTTCTAGCTAGGTTTCACACACACGTATATACCAAACTCATTTATGTACATAACTCTAGTGAATCCCCACTTGAACAAAGTCAACAAAGAGAGGGAAACTAGACAATTGTCATGAATTTATTGATCTTCTAGCTAGGTTTATATACCAAAACTCATTTATGTACATAACCTAACTATGGGCCTACCCAATATATACCAAGGCGAATTCATTTAGGAAAAAATTATTTGGATGAGTATCTTTTAATAAATAATTATTGATTTTAGTGATATTTTCTATTTATTATCATTTATAACAATACATAGCAATACTATGTTAAATCTACAATATGTATTAAAAGTGAATTATGTATGCAATATATATGTATTATAATTGTTTTTAAAAAAAATATTATGCTTGTTTAGTAAGAAATTGACACATTATTATAAGTGAATTAAAATGTGTAATAAATGTATTATCCATCCATAAAATTTGTATTATATGTGAATAATAAACTGTTCTTTGTAATATGTATTAACAATGTATTATAAATGTATTAAAAGTGATCAAGTGAAAGAAAAATGTTATTGCTATAAATGGTAAATATTTTTTTAATATAGTATACATAGACAAATAAATATGAATAGGGGGAGTACATTTATACATGAATTAAATTTATGATATGAGTTGATAAAGATATCAAACAACTAAGAGCCTATTTGGCATTGTTATGGGAGGGGGTCAAAAACACTTATTTTGAGGAAAAAAAATATTTTTCCCAAAAAATCAAAGTATTTGGCTAATTAGTAAAAAAAAAATTTTTTTACTAATAGTAAGATATTTTCAAGACCAAAATATTCATGTCATATATATTTATTTATTTTTCTGGTGAACTAATCGTATATGCTATATAGTGATTTAAGATATATGTTGTTTTGTTTGAAAAATTTTAAGGTGGTTGAGACACACCATGTCATACTTGTATGAGGGATTATTTTATAGATAAAAATTTATTTTGTGGGTCCATATATTGAAAAAATTTAAGGTGGTTAAGGCGCATCATGTAATAGTTGTATGAAGAATTATTTTAATAGATAAAAATTTATTTTATGGGTCCATATCTTTATAACTTTTCCATTTCTCGTCTCACTCCTCCACCCCCACTTTCTATTTAACCCCCTCTATGTAGAGTACTTTGTAAACTTTCAAATTTTAAATATATTTCATTACACAATAAAAATAATTATATCCTAAAATTAGTAATTTATTACCTCTTTTGCGCATTATTTCTCCAATTCTTCAATAGAAAAATAGTAATGTCTTCAAATTATTAATTTATTTTATTTATTGTTTTGATAATTCATAATGTTCATTTGTTAAAAATCAAATAGAGATAAATATATTAATATTAATTTATATTTGAAGTCAAGTAAAATAATTATGTATTTAAAAAAAGTAAAATTAAGATTTTTGCTCTTAACCTCATACAAAATCAATTGTATTATTTTTAGGACAAAAAAAGTTATTTAAAATTACTTGTAAATCAACAAAATCAAAATATAATTAATTATTTTTTTCAACCACCATAATTTTTTCTTAAAGTCTGGCTCTGCTGTGATCAGGGTCGTCTTAACCACTAGGCCACTAAAGTCATTGCTTGGGGCCCCATATTTTTGGAGGCCCCCAATTTTTCTTTTTAAAAAATACTTATATATATTATTTAAAAAATTATATGTACTTTTAATTTATTTTTAAAAAAAACATGTAAGAAGTATAAACAAAATAAAAAATGACCGTTAGTTTTCCCACTTTTTAAAGGGAATAAAACATTTTTTGGGAATAATTTCCTTAAGTGGGAAATTGTGATTTCTTATTTATCTCCTAAAAGTTTGACCCTATATTATTATTTACCTTATACTCATATTTTTTATTCTCTATTTTATTATTTTTATTCTCAATATTGAACTCTCTCCTACAATTTTTTTTGTTTTATTGTTGCTTACAAGTTACAAAAGAACAAAATTTGATTTTTGGATGTCTTCTACAAAATCTCAAGATGTGCAACAAACAATCATTATATTGAAGGAACACTACGCTATTTCGATATTGTTTTATCAACTTATCAAATTCACGAGTCAGGTTTTATTATTCTAACTTTAGTTTATAGTTTTTTGTTATTGTTGATATATATATATATATATATATCTTGTTTTAGTTATTATTCAATTTAAATATGTCAACTAGAAAATATGATTTCGATTTGACAAAAAGAGAGAAAAAGAGAAAACTTGAAGAATTAAATAAAT